AGTGAGCCACAGGCCGACCGCTGACATTTTTTTTTTTTTTTTTAGCATCTGCCGCAGGAGACTCCTGACAGCAACATGGGTGGAGAAGATGCTGTTCAGAATAGAATGGGCCTCAGTGGGGAAACCTTTGCTGAGCTGCTCCAGCCAGCTCGGCACCGGGGGCAGAACCAGGGTATGTCCTGTGAAAGGTGTCATTGTAAGCGGAGCCAATTCCATTGTGTGTGGGACGGAGCACCTTTGGGACTCACAGGCAGTGCCATGGCCCATGGCGCAGCCGAGGAGCTAGTGAGCATGTACTATGTGCCAGGCTCTGTTCTAGGCACTTGGATGCTGTGTGCTGCTATTGTGGAGTTTAACAGGGACGGGGAAATAAAGAAGAAAATGCACTACTGGGAACGTTCCAGATGATGTGATAGATGGAGGGAAGAGAGGGGAGAAACAGAATAGTCAAGGAAGACTTCTCAGAGGAGATGGCCCTGGAGTCCTCCCAGTTTTCCTTAATCCCTGGGCACAGGGTCTGAGCTTGGCTCACAGCAGGACAGATGGGGGTGTGACTCAAGGGAGGATAGGGGCTCCACACCACTCAGTGTGTGAAGCAAGCCTTGTGTTCTATGTTAAGCAGCCCAAGTTTCCCTGGAGAAACCCAGGACCAGCCTCCCTGGTGCAGAGAGGAAGTCATACCTGAAGTGGTAGGTGCCTTCCCTCTGCCCGAAGCCACTGCCAGGCACGACACAGATGCCAGTCTCCTCCAGGAGCTTCATGCAGTAAAACATGTCTGGGGCCATTTTATGGGCCTGTGGAGCAGGGCAGAACTTATGATTCATTCCTGCCTTTGCACTGTACAAACACCATTAAAAACTCAAAGCCAAATACAACCTAATGACAGGTTATCTTTCCCATGGCGGGCACTTCTCTCCTCCAATTCCTGGAGGGCCGAGGCAGGACACTGGGATACCGCTGGTAGCAGGTGCAGAGCACAAGACATCTGAAGGCTACTGCAGGATAGCCAGGGGCCATGCTGCTCCTGCTCTTCATCGGGGAGGGCCAGTCTATCTGCCTCGCACCCCACCCGCAGGCAGCCGCTCCACAAGCATGAGCAGTGGCCTCCTATGTGCCAAGCCACAGAACGCTCTAAAATGGGGCCCCGAGGTCTGCACCCAGTGGAGGCTTTTAGAGAACAAGCTTCTTGAGGGTTCTGTCCATAGTGCTTCTCACACGTTGGTTGGTATAACAATCACCCGGGGAGCCTGTTAAATACAGATTCTCAGGCTTCAACTCCAGAGATTCTGATTCTGTAGGTCTGGGGGTCGGGCCTTGATTCTGAATGTCTAACAAGGCATTCAGGAGGTTTGGGAGTGGGGTTAGGACATCACTTTCAGATCCTGCTCTGCCCTTGATCCTCAAAGTGGGGCCTGGGGCACCACCTGAAAACTTGTTGTAAATGCAGAATCTTGGGCCCCTTGCAGACTTAGTGAATGAGAATATTGGTTTTTTTTTTTTTTTTTTCTTTTATAGCCAGTCAAATTTAGCAGTGGGGGGTTGTATACCATCTTGAGTGCCACAAATGTCATAAGTTCTGATAACCCACTGCCACTGGACCAGCCCACAGTTGGCATTTTAACAAGACCCCAGCCAACTGGTGCACACATTCAAGTTCAAGAGGCACTACTCTAGGACACAGTGGCTGGGTGGAGACAGCGCCTGTTGCTTCCCCAGCACTGCATCACGCCTAGACACCTCCCTTTGGAGGAGCTGTGTTAACAGAGTTTCGATCAGCACCTCTAATATGAGAACCTGTCATCTTCAGACAGTAAACACCATCTGGCTGAGAGGTCCACAGAGTCCAGAGCCTCTAGGGCCAGTGCCTCTGCTCCCTAAAACAAGCAGCAGGCCCCAATCCAGCCGTTGCTAGTGAACCCGGTGAGAGAGCCAGCCCTGCCCAGCCCCGCACTGCAGACCTGAGCTGCCTCCACAGCTTTGGCGGGGATGAAGATTCGAGGAAAGGCATACATGGCTCCCTGCAATGGGTTGCACTGAATTCCTGGGACTTGGTTAAACATGTCTTCTGTCAGCTTTGCTTTTTTGGCCAGATTACCCAGCACAGATTCCTTTTCCTAATGAGAGACAGAGAAAGCACATGAGTCAGTACCTCTGGACAAGGACTGGCTCCAGCCACTGGAGGCTGTTCCTTCAACGCCAGGGTAACTGGACAGATTGACAAAAGACGAGCTTGCACATGCATGAGCACAGCAAACAGGGAGGTGGTCTGAACACGTCTCCCTGCAGGAATTTTTTGTACAATGCCCAACCTAGGAGGCTGCCACATGTCCTAGGGCATGGGGCACATGAATACACGGGGAGTTTCAGGCCACAGGGCAGGTCCTGGGTAGCCTGTGTCATAGGTTCTATTTTTGTACCAGGACATCATTCCTGAAAACGAGAAAAACCAGTCCTTGCCAGTCAATCTGAATGGACTTGCCTTTGGATGGAACACTCTAGAACGTGCTTCTAGGAGACATGGCCCCTGTTTCTGTAGACAGACCCCAACACTTCACTTTGGGGACCACCACTCCCCACTCTCAGTCAGTGTGGTGTGCGCATGATCCAGGCAAAACAAATCAGAGACAGTGACTGGCTCAGGGCTGGACATGTGTCCAAAGCCGGAGCAGAGTCGTCCAGGACTTCTGCAAGTACTGCTGGGAAAGGGGGATGAAAAGGTGTGAGCCTGCAGATGAACATATAAACAAAATGCGGCATATGTGTACTAGGGAACATGACTCAGCCTTCAGTCACCAAGGGGATTCTGACACATGCTGCAACATGGATGGACCTCGAGGATGGTACACTAAGTGAAATAAGCCCGTCACAAAAAGACAAGTGCTCTCTGATTCTACTTGTAGGCAGAGTCTAGAGTAGGTGGATTCATAGATACAGAAAGTAGAATGGTGGTTGTCAGAGGCTGGGAGGAGGGGAGTGTGGGGAGTTAGTGATTAACAGATATGGAGTTTCAGTTTGGGATGATGGCAAAGTTCTGAAGATGGACAGTGGTGATAACTGTACAACAATGTGAATGTCCTTAATGCCACAGAAGCGTACACATTAAACACATTAAAATGGTAAATTTTTGTTATGTGTATTTTACCACAATTAAAAAAAAAAAAAGATGTGAGCCTAGAGCTGACTTCTAGATTACATGACCCATAAATTCCTCTTTTGTTTAAATGAGTAAAGAGTTGGGTTTTTGTCACTTGCAGATCAGGGCCCATGGCCTAGACTTGATGTGCCCATCCACTTCTCCCTTCTTTCTAGTTTCACAGTAGAATCCTCCCAGAGTGTTATCACGACACAAAGCGTACCAGTCCGTGGTGCTCACAGGTGGGAAAGAGGAAGGGTGTACATGCTCACATGGATTCACAGTCCTCCCACTTCAGAACACAGCCTAGCTGCATCCTCCGACTTAACCAATTCGCATGGGTGGTTCAGGCACCAAAAGGAACCACCAGCGCCCCCTGGAGGCCACACCTCAAGGAGCCTGCTGCTTGGGGGTCTGGAAAATTACAGTCACCGCAGGAATTCACGGGTGACACTGGAAGCAGCAGTGATGCGGAAAGGTCACAGCAGACTCACCCTGCTGAACTGCTCGAAGGACTCCTCTCCTGGCACCGGGGGGTTCACGACAATGTCCATGGCAGCCTGTCCAGACACTGGTGGGCACAGACGCACTGAGAGCAGCTTCACCAGCTGGCCCTTGATCTCAGGGTGCAGGTTGATCACCTCCATGTAGCCTCCTCTGTAGCCACACCTGGAGGGTTGAGGAGAGGGAGAGGACCCATCAGTTACAGAAAGACCTCAACAAAGTGCAATGTGGTCAGCCAGAATCTGTCACCATCCTCACTCCCAATACCAAATGGCCAGATGTGGCTGAGTTCTTGCCAATAGAAAGTGAATGGAAGTGACAGGTGCAAATTCACTTCTTTACAAGGAAAGAGCATATGCTCTCCTTTGTCCTCCTTTTTCCCCAGTTCCTGAGCAATGGAGAGACTGGAGCATCAGCCCCAAGGCTAGAGATGGACACTACATGTAGAGAATGCAAAGCTATCAGCCTAGTCTTTGCATGACCTCATGGAGCAGAGCCTGCACTGGACTTCCCCCCACCTTTGAGCTATGTCAAAGAGAAACATGCTTGCACCATGTTGGAGCCACTGTATTTTGGAGCCTCTTTGTCATAGCAGCTTAGCCTGAAACCTAACTAATGCACTAGCCCCTGTTTGAAAGATGGGCTTGAGTCAGGCCTGGCATCCCCTCACACAGGCTCCGGGGGTGGGCACACAATTCACTGGTGCCAATGAAAAATTGTTCTGCTGAAACAATTTCTACTGCTGGGAAACAAAACCAACCAAAAGAACAGACTGAGAAAGAAAACAAGACAAAGGAAGGAGGCAGAGACAGGGTCCCACTGACATCTTTAAGCCCCCTGACTCAACCCTCTATCTCTGGACTTTTTACTGATATGAATTAAAAAAAAAAAAATGCCTCTCTTTGGTGTAAGCCACTTCAAGTTGAGTTTCTGCAGCTTAGGGCCAAAAGAATCCTAACTGACACACAGTCAAATCATACGAAAATAAGCTGAGATCATGCAATGAGTTAAAAAAAATCTTTCCAAACCAAATCAGCAACATCAACCACGCTTTCTGGAGCTAAGCCTCCTTCTCTGGTCTGACTGCTAACGTTCAGACTGGTGACCACAGAAATGCAGGCACTGCGAGGCAGAAACCTGGTTACCTTCCTTTGCTCATCCTCTCACCCCAACCTGAATCCTTGACATGATGAGACGTTCAATAAAACACTTTTGGGACCACACTGCTGAACTGCACTGGCAAGACAGATTCCCACCTGATCCCTGGACTGGACTTCCCAAGGCATAAAGACAAATTCTGGCATCCTGGAAAGGTTTCCCAACACAAAAGTTGAAAGAAAGAACTTTCTACTTCATCTTTTGCTGAGGAGCAGAGAATCAAATTGAGGAAAGCAGTTCAATGCTAGGTCATCAGGACCTGTGAACAAAGAGGCATAACCCAGGACACCAACATCCAGGGGACTGATTGTTAAAAAAAATAATCAATAGGGCCGGCCCGTGGCTCACTCGGGAGAGTGTGGTGCTGATAACACCAAGGCCACGGGTTTGGATCCTATATAGGGATGGCCGGTTAGCTCACTGGCTGAGCGTGGTGTTGACAACACCAAGCCAAGGGTTGATCTTTTAAAAAAAAAAATCAATAAAAGAGATGGAGAGATGGATAGGGATGTAACAAACATGCTTGCATTTGAAAAATGAGTTAGGAGAAAACAGATTTGTTTATGAAAAGAGCTATACTGCACAGGAAAGTCTAGCAAGGAGCCAGCACTGCTACTGGGGTAGACCAGAAAGACGAGCATACATTAACCCCTGTCTACCCACATCAGATAAACCAAGACTAGTTTGGCAACCATCCCAAGGGGACAACTCCCTCAACCTGGCCAAAATGCTTCTTCAGGCTTCACAGTTACACTGGCTTCCAGCTTAACAAATGAGAACTCCCACAACGTTGGGAATTAATGCCTTTAGCTGTAAACTCACTGGTCTTTCCTCCTCAGTCTCCTTTAGAGGTTCCTCCTCTTCTCCCCACAACCTCTGAGCAGTGGAGGCCCAGGCCCAGTCCTTGGACCTCTTCTCTACACTCATGTGAGACATCCAGGCTTGAGCTACAACAATCTAACAATCCATACCCTGATATCTCCCAAATTTAGATGTCCAGCCAAACATCAGCCCTGACCTGCAGACTCACATATCCATCTCTATCTGGACATCAAATAGGCATTTGCAAGTTTAACATGTCCAAAACCAAACTCCCACCCTTTCTCCCCAAACCTCCTTCACCCACAGCCTTCCTCCTCTGTTGATGGCAACTCCATCCTTCCTGTTTGAACAAAACACTTGGGATTCATCTTCGATTACACTCATCTTCCATCAGCAACTCCTGTCAACTCCACCTTCAGATATATCCAGAATCTTCTCCTCATCTCTACCCTGGTCCATGATATCTCGCCTGGAGGACTATAGAGGCCTCCTGACTTAAGCCCTCACTTCTGCCCCACCCCCCACCCCCTGGCAACCAGAAGGAATACAGTAAAAACAAATCAGGTGAGATCACACCTCTGCCCAAACCCTCCAATGGCTCCCATCTCACTCTGAGTAAGAGTGAAAAATAACCAAAGTGGCCCAGGTGGTCTGACCTCCTGTGACTTCTTTGGTCTTAATTTCTGCCACTTTCCCCCTTGCTCACTCCTTTCCAGCTCCCTTGCTGCCCCTCTAACATGTTAGACATGCCTCCACCTCAGGGCTTTTGCACTTGCTATTCCTTCTGCCTGCAATGCTCTTCCTCCAGATATCTGCACAGTTCCTTCTCTCCCCTCCTTCAGCCTTAACTCAAAAGCCAACCCCTCGGTGGGCTGCACTATTTAAGCCTGTGACCCCACCCCACCTCCTGGCACTCCTGCCTCTTCTCTAATTGTTTTTGTCCATCTGACACATGATCTTACTCATTTGTCCACTGCCTCTGTCTCCTCACGAGAACATAAACTCTGTAAGGCAGGGATTGCTATAGTTTGTTCACTGCTGTAGCCCCAGTACTCAGATCAGTACTGGACTCACAGAGCTCAATAAATACTGGCTGAACAAAGAAATACACAATTGAGGGTGACCCTTTGGCCCCTGAGGTCACCCAGTGCTAAGGTGGTCTTGCACCCAGAGTGTGGCCCATCAGCCTAACAGCATTTGTTTGTCCACTCAACCTGCCCTCCCTGGCCTCTCAGACCTCAGACACTATTGGGGCAACAGTGACAGGACTGCCAGAAAGCACTAAGTGTCGGGAGCTGCTCTGAGATCGTGTTTTCATTCCCATAATCTCTCTGGTCTGGTTTCTTTTGAGCATGGCCTTGTATTATTCAAGCCCCTGCACAAAGGCTGTTCTCACACCACTGGGATCCCCCTCGGGAAGGTGCAGCCTGTCTCCTCCTGCTTCCTAGATCAGCAGGAGCAGGAGATACGGGTGCCCTTCTCTCCATCCAAGTGGGTGGACTGCGGGGCAGGCAGAGAGAAGGCAGCCAGGAGATGGCAGCATCGGGACCAGGCAGGCCCAGAGAAGCGGGAAGGAGGCGGAGGCCAACATACTCGCCCATGTAACCCTTGGAGGTGGAGTGGAAGGAGGCAAGCTCCACGTTGCTGGAATACTCAGGGCCCATCTCATAAAGCACCTTCTTAAAGGAGTGGAATCTGCAGTCTGGAGAGTACACGTTGTCCTGGTACACCTGCCAGGGAGGAGACAACAGGGACAGTCACTGCAAGTCCTTCTGAGAAGACTGAGCCCACGCAGGCTGCTGCCGAGTGTGGCCAAGGGGGCAGAGCCCCTCCAGACCCGAGGAGAGGGAGGGAACAGGCACACAGGGTTAACCTGTAGTCTGTGTGTGGTGAGGCCCAGCCCTGAACGGCCCAGCCAGCCCAGCCTCCAATGTCACTTCCTGGGACAAGCCAGAATGTGACTGAAGAAACCTTCCAGAACAAGCAAGGATCAGACTAGATGCTAAGCTTAAGACAACTCAGGAGCTCACTCGACTTCTCCCACATTCTCCCGTCCAATCTCCAGACTTCCTTTCTACCTCGCCTGACCAGTGATGATATCATGAACTCCCATCTCCCCAAACCAACTTTCCTCCTAAAGCACAATGTTTAGTGCCTTTAGTAACATTAATAATGACGGTAGTTAATGTAACTGTTCTCTGACCTCCCCATGTGAAGAGCTAACCCTGTTGGGTTTCCTTTTATGGTTTGGAATTATTTTGATTTTCTATCCACCTCTCACTGCCAGAGTAGCACCCACCCCCGCTCTGTTCTTCCCTGCCCCGAGTCTACCACTCACAGCAGGCAAGCACCCCACTCTGTCCTTTGAGACTAGCTTCCCACAACCATTCTGGAGATCAGGGAAACCGAGGGTTAGTAGGACGGTCAGGCCCGTTCCATCTTTAACAAGCTGGACATTGTCCTCTTTGTCCTCCTCCCCTGAGGTTGTGCACCAGATCACAAGGAAAACCACGGGTCTCTCTGCTGCCCCTTCTCTCTTTTAGAAATAAAGATTTTAGGCCCATCTACTATTAATTATGGCAACAACTTGGTGGGTGAGCTGTGGGTGAGGGGTGTGTAGGTGTGTGTGTGTGGGGGGTGAGGGGGGTGAGGGGTGTGTAGGGGTGTGTAGGTGTGTGTGTGTGTGTGTGTGTGAGAGAGAGAGAGAGAGAGAGAGAGAGAGAGAGACATGCTAAGGAGCAAAGAAAAAGAACGTTGAGTGCTAGAAGCCAGAACTAGCCAGAAATCATACAGAAATGGAGATGAAAACAGGATGTGACAGATCCTCAATTTCTTCCCTGCAAAGCTGGAAAAGAATAAGACTTTTGCTGGAACCACCAAGACTAAAAGCCCTCTTTTTAGGCTGGAAAGATAACTGGCCTGTGGATGAGGCCAATGCAGACGGAGACTGAATCTGGAAGATATGGTTTGAATCCTTGGATATGTGACCCCAAACCAATATAGGGATAATTTAGGTCACAGTCTCATAATCTGTAACACTGAACATCCTCACCCTTGGCCAAAATTGCTCTGCTAACACCTAGAAAGTTTTCTGGCTGCAGAACAATCAGGCCTAGATCCCTCCCCCTAGAAGAGAAATCTCACCACCACCCTTCTCTAAGGGGGCTGAGCTGGGACCACTCTTACCTCGTCAGCCAGGAGAAAGAGCTTCTCTTCCCAGGCAAAGTGAATCACATCTTCTATGCACTTTCTGCTTTGTACCTGGCCTATAAAATCCCCAAGAAAACCAAAATGTAGGTTGTAGTGTTGTTTAAATTGTCCCCCAGTCAGAATCCCACCCAGAATCACTCAGATGTCCTGTGTTCCCTCAAGACCACAAGAGACCATCCTCCAGTTGCTGCGTATCATGGTGTGGTCAACCTCCAGGGATGCCTGGAGGGCGGGGACCCATCTGTCTGACTCACTTAAGCCAGATATGTGGAGGCAGTAGCGTTTCACACCCAACTTTCCTGTTATTCTTATGAGGGTGTGTGTATGTGTGTGTGCATGGTTGTGTGTGTGCTGTCTGTGCTGGAGGACAGAAAGGCATGGAAGTGTCATAAAGAGCAGGAAGATACAACTGAAGGAGTCACATCTATCAGCTCAGCTCCCCCCTTACTATGCAAAGCAGAAAATGATGGAAACACTCCTGCTGGCTGATGTGGTACCTGGGTGAGAAATGCTACACCTTCCCCCCAGAGAGGCGCACCCAAGCTCCAGGAGGTGGGGACAAGGCCTATCCTGGCTTCTTGTCTATCCTCAAAGCCGGCACTCAGCAGGTGCTCAATAAATATTTGCAGAATAAATGCTAAATGAATGAGCCTGGGTACTGGCTTTGGAGTCACCTGTCAGATGCTAGCAGGAAGCTAGGCACCGTGAAAGACAACAACCATGAGCACTCCACAGCTTTCCTTGGCTCAGTCTCCCGTTTCAGGACTCAACATTAATGGGAAACACTAAGCACCCATTTTAGAGAAATGAGTAAAACGGCAAGCTAGTATAATCCATCAGTTCACAAGAAATGCCACAAGGGCAGCTGGAGAAAGGAACAAACGCAACAAGGTAGAAATAGGACCTCCCCTCAATACTTCCTGAGACCTGCTTTGAGTAGGAATGTCAGGAATGTCTGATGTGCTCACAATGTCCTCTGGAAAAGCACCACTACAATCAGGCTTGCTGACTTCTTAGAAAAGGCCATGCTTCCTTACTATATGTATATAGGTATCTATGCACAAATATATTATACACATATCTAAGTGTGCATACAAATATGTATATACATGCACTTATATTATTACATACATACACATATAACTTGCTGCAGAACAGTACGTAGAATGTTACCATTCTGTTAAAAATAGAAATACCTATATCCTTGTCTACAAAAGAATATAAAAAATATGCCTGGAAAAATATGTATACATGTATCTTGTAAGAACACGGTACTGTCTTGAACTATCTAAGCAATAAACCAATTCCTTTACTAAGGGACCAAGCTTTCTCCTGCCAAGCAAGTGCCAACTGGACTTCAGATGAAGCAAATGCAGGATTCTGGGTTCTGGGATTCCAGGAGGGTGGCAGGCCCTGGTTTCTCCAAGCAACCAGCCACTGTTCGTACAGACAGACAGTGGCTGGCTACTGAGGGGACAGAACCTGCCTGCAAACTCTCCTGGTTTTGCCCTCCCAAGCCTGGATCCCACAACCTGTTTCCTGTTAGTACGCAAGCAAGGACTCAAGCACCAGAACACGCAAAACTGTGTTCACTGAATGCTCAGAAGAACACAAAGAGGAAATGAGCAAGGACCGGAGTCTCGAAAAGCCTTTGGCTGGGTAGAGGAAATGAGATCCATGTATGCAAATAATTCCACTGATGTATTCAATGCAAACTTGTAGATGAGGACAGAGCGTATTTCTTTCTAGTGCCTAGGACCCAACAGTCACTTGGAGCATGCCCGCTGAGCCAGTGAAGGGACAAATGCATGAACAGTGGTAATAGAAGGGAAAGTCACATATGGCTTTAGAGGGGCCAGGGCACACTTGTGCTCAGCTGGGGTGACATCAGTCATGGCTTTGATACAGGCTCAAAGGCTGGAGAGGGATCTCCCAAGTGCCTCTCACTAGAGGCTAGGCCAAAGGAATTTCCTACAAACTGACGGGAACATCTGTTGCTTGTGCCTGCTGGGCATCCTTCCCTTAAGTAACAGACCATGGCATCCCCTGGGGAACTCCAGCAGGCGACATGGGACACAGACCTGGTCCGTTGGTGTCACAGAGATGTGAGTAGCTCAGGGATGAGCAGGTGACCCAGTGTGGGCCAATTTAAGAGTCTGGCCTAGAACTTTTAATGGACTATGGTAGAGGCTCTCCTCTAAGGTAGCTCAGCTGGTGGGCAATGGCTGGAGCAGCTGAAGGCCACTGCAAGGGCAGATCCTTTCTGAGAAGGAATCCAACCTGGAGGACAGCAGAGCTGAGAAGTGGACTGTGGTTCTCATGACAATGACAGTGATTTGGGCACACCGCTTTACTCCTGCACTTTTTAGTTCCACAATCCAATCCCTTCAATCTTGAGTTGGGTTTCTGTCTTGAAACCTCAATTAATACCCCAGCCCATTCTGACACCATTTAGCTAAACTGGTCACACTATGTGGTCCAGACAATATACATGGTCTTCACAGGTGCATTTCTATTTTCCATCGCCCCTCTTCTAATAGCTGACTGATTTTCACACATTGAGACCCCAGTGAGCAAAACCAGATTCTGTACACTGATAAAGTTACTCTTTGCAAAAACTACTTACATTAATATACACTCACATGACCCCTTTACCTAAAACAGGGAAGTCTCAGGTGCTGTTATTTCTTCCCAGTCAGCTGAAAAGATTTATGTAAACACCTGGCCAAGAAATGACTGAATCTCTAATGTAGACTAGGTATGCAGAGTCTTTCCGAAGATGTAGGACTTTCTATTCCAAGTGTGGTTCTGGACACTGACACCAGGAAGTTTGTTAGAAATGCAAATTCTCAAGCTCTACGCAGGCCCAATTACATCAAAATATCTGGGACTGGGGCTCAGCAGTCTGTATTTTAACAAGCTAAAGTTTGAGAACCACTGTTCTCATCCTCAGCTACACAGAATATTCATGCCTGGGCCCCCATCTGTGGAGATTCTGGGGTGTGGCCTTGCCTTTGAGATTTTTCAAAGCTCCCTTTGTGATTCTAATGTACAACCAGGATTGAGAACCCAGCTCTGTGTCATTTTTCTGCTGCATCATAATTAGTATCATCCCTTCCCCCAAGGAGGTGGGATAAATAAGCCAGTGTTACTGCCAGCTGCACCCATTTTCTGCACTCAGGAATTCAAGTGATGCTTTCAGCTGATCAAAGCATCATTTGATGTTCCCGAGAAGCAGATTCCACAATCAACTCCAACGCATTTTGGCCCCGACCCAATTTATCTCAACAAAGGAGAGAGGAGCCCTTGTTCTCTAAATCCAAATGCATCAGGGGCTTATGAAACCAGCAACCCAGAAAGATCAAAACAGGCAGGACTGTGTACTTTTTTTTTAAAAAGAAAAATAAGCAAAACTGTGGTGCTTTTCAGCTTCTGGAAACGGGCTTTTTGTTGTTGTTGTTTGCTTTTGTTTTTAATATGGCATTTCCTTCTGAGGCCTCAAGGTACCAGGATTGCTTTGTCGAACAAACACACACACCAGCATTCTGAAAACCGGTTCAGAAAAACTAGTAGGAGTGATGGTAAAATGACACCTACAATTAATGGTGATGGTTTGTGCTTGAGTAATCTCTAGGAGGTAAGTCTTTGCAAATGCAAGGATAACAGGAAATAAACCTGGTCTTAATAATAGTAGAATCCTGCCCAAGAAAATGCCCGCATTTGCTTACCTCCTGTGGTGGCCTGTGGCAAATTTTATGGCTCTATGTTGGCAAGTCTGAAATTGGATTGGGAAACTGGGGCAGAGAGAACCTCGCATTATTTCTTAACTCTTTAGTGTCTAGACATCCAGTATACCAGCTGCCCCCACACCCCAAGAGACTGGTGAGGAAGTAAAGTGCAGACCTGTGGGGTTCCCGGGGTTGATGATGCAGAGCACCTTGGGGTCAGAGTGGTCTTTGGCCTCTCGCAGTGCCCGCCGGAGCTCGTTCACGTTCAGGGCCCAGCAGTTCTCCTCGTCCAGGTAGTAGTTCACCTGGATGGCATCGAGCTCAGAGATGACCGCCGAGTACAAGGGATACTGTGGGATGGGGATCATCACACCCGTCCGTGACTTGCCACCCCCAGAGACGAGGATCTTCAGGATCGTCTGTAACCAAGAAGTCATGTCTAAAAAGCCGCTGCTACTCCTTACCCCTCGGGAGCTGACAAGCAGACAAGCCAAATGGCCCAACCCCAGTCCTTCACCAGTAGCCCCACTGCCTGCTTCTAGTGCAACCCTGTGCAAGTTGCTTCATTTCTCAAGTTTCAGTTTCCTCATCCGTGAAGGCCGCTGTAAGGAGTAAGCAACATGAAATGTTTTAAAGTTCTCAGCAGTGTATGGTATGTAGAAACTCAATTACTTATTAGTATTTTTAATACTTCTAAAATAATAGTTTCCAAACTGGCCCTGTCTCAGAATTATTCTGATCCCACTCCTGAGTCTCTGATTCAGTATATCCAACATGGGTGCCCAAGAATCTGTTTTAGTAAGTATCAGTGCCCAAAATTGGAATGACCCTTGAACGGGGGACTGCTGAAATGGGACAAAAATACCCATCTACTGCCACTATGTGGCGCTGTGACCTGTTTTCAAAGCTGAGCAGGACATGTGTTTGTAGGATTCCTGAGAAACCAGGCCATGGGAATCCTGTCGGGTATTGGTGGAGGTGGCAATAATTTATTGAATAAGCCAAAACCCTCCACAGGGAGAGTCTCCACCATATACACAGGCATAGGTCCTTTCTCTGGCTCAGTTCCTTGCTGCAAGAATGCCACCAGATTGAAATTGCAGTGACTTGACTATTTTCACTGAAATTTACAGACACTCCCTCCCCTCCTTCCAGGACCTCTGCCCATACTGAGCTTCTCTGGGAATACAGAGAAGCCTTGACAGCAGAAGACAGTGGAAGACTCCAAGGTTGGGGGCTGGAGCCCCAACACTAGAATGCCAAATGTCACAAGAACTCTGGGCCTCAGTTTCCTCATGGGCTCCAATAAGAGTTTAATGCATTTGAAAGGTTTTGGGGAAGGAATAAAGCACTCAAAAAACATCAAAAAACAAGAGTCATAGAGGTCAGGAGACAAAGATAGGCCCTCTCCCATGCATGGCTGACCCCCAGCCTGAGCCATCTCTTTTCTCGCCTCCTAAATGTTCCCACACATCCACTATGCCCCTTCCAGCCAAAGTTTAAATGCAGAAACATAAATGTAATTATGTCCCCCTCCTGCTTCAGAGCCTTCAATGATTCTCTATTGCCTTAGGACAATGACCCAAATCCTCCCGTGGCCTCTAAGGTCCTGCAGGACTCAGCTGCCGTCTGCCTACCGAGCCCAATTTCTAGTAACTCTGTCCCTTGCTGTCTGTGCTCGTTGTCCTGACCATCAGCACATAACACGCTCCCCTCTTGCCTCCCCCAGTTCACCCCTGCCTGTCTTTCAGATCTCTGTGTGCTCAGCCTTCCTCATAGAAGCCTTCCTGACCCTGCCCCACCAGGTCACAGTCCCTGCTGCTCCCTCCTGTAGCACTTTGTCCTTCTCTTCACCACAGAAGAGAAACGGATTATTTACAAAATATTAATGCTGGTCTGCTCCAGCACTAGTGCTCAGGCAGAGGCCAAATGATGTGTTTGGTTCCTCACAGTCTCCCCAGCACTTGGCACAGTGCCTAGCGAAGGAGAAACACCAGTATGTGCCAAGTGACTAGCCAATGGGCACTCTTGAGTGGCCCATGGCTCCTCTCTAGCTGGACCTGCTAGTATGCACTCCAGAGGGAAATCAAGGCTGCAGTACTATCCAGGCTCATGGAGACTGATAGAGACAAGGACTGTAGGCTACTAGGACAGGGGGACCAGAGGGTGGCCAACCCCCCTGTTCTCAGGTCTGTCTCCCTGCTAGCCAGTTCAAACATTTGACTGTAACATGCAGGGCTGTCCTTCCTGTGGGTAACAATGAATAACAATGGCCCACGCTTGCACGTACAGAAATACCATCACTAGCTCCAGTGGTCAGATAGATGTTGTCTGGGTCTGCAGGCACGCCGCCATCTCTCCTGGTGATGTAGGCAGCCACATCTTCACGGATGCAGTTGACACCCTGGCTAGCACTGTAAGACCCTGTAAGATAGCAAGCACGAAGGTGACTAGAGGCAGGATGTCTGGTTCCACAGTCAGTGTAATATCCCTATAATTAACTTGGGGGAAGAGTATTTGGGGGAGGGCATCCCAGGTGAGGCCTGACTCCCACTGCTCTGGGCTCTGGAATTGTGGCAAGCTGCTTACCCACCTATCTGGGCTTCATCTACCCATCCTCTCATCCATCTATCCATTTACCCACCAACCTGCCCACCCACCTATCCATCCATCCATCTGCTCATCCATCCACCCACCTATCCATCCACTCATCCATTCATCCAACATTTACTGAGTACCTACTGCATGTTAAATATTATTCTAGGGTCTAGCCTCTAATCAGTCCAATGGTGCTCACACCGTTTTACCCACCCTCCTGGGATTTATACATATTCTATGACAACATAAGTCATTGGAGATGGGATTCCTATGCTTTTATCACCATTGCTTATACATGGTTCCAAAGAACTTGAGAGTGAATGGGTCAACAAGTGTGCTCCAAAATAGCACCAGCTACCAGCCCCAGGAGCCCAGAGCCCTGACCAGCACCAACCACAGATCCCTGGGGCTGCTGGGCATGCTCCACACCCCTCCCTGCCCCATGTCAACACTATCTTCAGGCTACAAGTTAGGATAAAAAGTAAGGCCATCGTTTACATGAAGTTCAAAAACAGGCCAAACTGATTTATGGTGCCAGAAGTAAAAGAGGGCCAGCTACTCAGGGGTGGGGGTACTGACTGGAGAGGAGGACAACAGAGCCTTGATATCGCGATCTGGGTGGGGGGGTTACACAGGTGTGGACATGAGAAAAAGTTATTCAAGCTGTACATTAATATTTACATTTTACTATATATTTGTTGTACCTCAATAAAGTTTTTTAAAATGTCAGGCCACTATTTATGTTTTTAAAAAGAAATTAGAAATATGTATTTGCACGTGTACAAAATCTCTCTGGAAGAAGATTCAAATTGGTGAGGTGAATTCTTGGGGAAATGCACCAGGAGCCGGGGTCAGAGGTGGGAGGAAGATTTTTCATACCTCTTGAATTTTACACTGCTTTTAAAGAAAATCAGCCTATTCCTTCTACAGCCTGCAAAACCACCACCAGGAGGCAGGATGTGACTCCAGAAAGTAGCAGATCCTTCCCTGGGGCCACAGCATGTATCAGTCCAGGCCATGCACCCAGGAAGGACACAGTTAAACACTGTGAGCTGAAACAGTGCTAACCCTGGCTCTGCCTCAGCCTCTCTGTGCAGCACTGGGCTTACCCCTTCTCCTTGAGAAGGCTGGACCAATAATCTAAGGTGCCAAGTAGCAAACATGAACATGTATGAACTCTGGGTGGTGGTGCAGGGACTTTTGCTACATTATTTTGGGTAATTTTGTAAATTAAAAAGGCGAGAGGGGGTGCAAATTCTATTGTTAGAGAACCCTTCTCCCACTAGGCAATTTACTTGATGTTTCTGGGCACCTGTGCTCAGAAACCTTCCAGGGCTCCTTATTTCCTTCTGTGTTCTTTCAATATCAACCATCTCTCACCCCCTAAACCATGGGGCCTGGCCATCCCACACCAGCCAGGTCTACCCTTCTTCCTGCCTCTAAGCCCATTGTTTCCCAGGACTTCAACCCCCAAGCCTTCACCCATTGGCAAGCTCTCTGCTTCTGCAGGCCACAGACCTTCCCGCCTTCTAAAGAGACTCCTGGGGTTTTGTTTGGTTTTGTTTGTTTGTTTTGGCAGCAGGCTGGTACGGCGATCTGAAGCTCCTAGGTTTCTTTTTGCCTTTAGATCTTCTGCTATGCTCCAAACCACACTGATCCTTTAAGGCTAATCTGTCTCTAAGGGACCTACCCAAAAGATTCTGCCCCAACCCCAGCCTTTCTCCTGGTCTGTTATTTCTCCAGTTATTTTGTACAGAAGAAGCCCTCTCCCCATGTTGACTGTAAGTTACCTGAGGACAGGGACTGTTACCTATCTCTGATGTGCATCTCTGCTAGAGCACCTAACCCACTGCTGGGCCCCAAACGCACTACACCCCTCATTAGGACCCACAGACTTGAGACTGATGGCCAACCTATCTCCCACTGCCTATAAACTGGCATTATCACCACTGCCAACTCCCCATATCAAATACACAACACTCAGACCCCTACACTCACTCAGTTCCCAAACCTCAGGATCTTTGCACATGCTGTTCCCTCTGTCTGGCAAGCATTTGTAGGCTCTCATTCAACCTCCATGTGAGCTTGAAAGCCACTTTCCCTTTAAGCCCTTCCTCTACATTAGAACCCATTGTTAATCCTACAGCTCTCTGCCCTTTCTCCAAGAACTCACGGAAACGAGGGATTATATATTCATACAAGTCCTTTTTAATGTTTCTCCCACATCTGATAGTGAGCTTCAGGACCACAGAAACTCTATTTGCCTCATTCACCAGTGTCCCTCAGTACCTAGAACAGTGCCTGGTGTGTGCTCAGGAAGGGGATGGATAAGGGCACACAGCTCCCAGCTCCCCCAGGCATATGCTAGGGTTCACCTCAATCCTATTTAAGATCCAGGATACAACCCGACAACTGAATTACTAAAATAGGAAACTAAGCCCTAGTAAAAAATAATTTGGAAGGGCATGATAAAAAACATGTCTGAGGTGAGCTTCAAGACTTTGTGTATGCATTTACTAATCTCCTCTTGAGTCAGGGTGGCCCTGGGGAATAGTGACATGGTCCACTTCCTTTTACTTCTATGGGCAGGAAAGTGCTCAGGCTGCTCAAGGCTTAGCTGACAGACAGCAACATCCCCATGTCCCTGTCACAGGAAGGACCATACTGTTCCTCCTCCTGCAATGGGCAGGGTCGGGTAGTGACACCACAGGGGTGGGACTTCTCCACACCTAACAGCGGGCTTAAGCACACATGTAAATCTTCCGTGCAAGCCCAGGAGGTGAGTACAAAGGACTTTCTGGTTCAAGGATGACAAGAGAGGCTCACAATGCAGCTACTTCACCTGTGTTCATGAGCTCCCGGGATGGAACTCAGTGTGGTCACTCTAATGGTTTCTTGCTGTAACACCCCAAGAGGGGACTCACGTGGACACAGACTCCTAAACCCACTCCCTTAGCTCTGGCTGACACAGAGTTGCGAAAACCTGTTGATAAGGCTTAGTAGAGTGAAACAAAGATCCCCTACTCCTTTCCCTGACATTCACATCAGATACACAGAAGGCAAACTTCCCCCTTCCCCTGCCTCTCGTTTGGGGCTTCCAGGAATCTCAGGCCTACAGCCACAGGGTCTTTGAGAAGCACCTTTGATGTCTGGGCCGGGCAGAGGGTGCAGGAGAAAGAGAAGCCTGGTAGGTGAGCCTCTGGGCTCCTAGGCTGCTTTCTGCCAGTCTGTGGTTTAGGCCTTGGCACATAGGCAATGGCCCACACCTCATCCAGGCTGGCAGGCAGAAAAGCAAGGGGCAGCTGGCCCCTTCCTGGGAGGGACACCACTAGGACTCAGACTCAGAGAGAGGGCTGGTGGGGTGACAACAGCCAGGAAGATAAGGACAGAGCTCCCAATAAAGGGACAGAACAGACAAAGGTGGGGGGAGAGACAGGGAGATGAAAGAGAGGTAAGAGCGGCTGATTCCCTGCTGAGCGAGCCACAGAAATCCCTGTCGCACTCCTAGCTCTACATTCAGGAACATTTGGGCACGTGTCCTAAGACAGCTCTGAGAACAACTGGTTTCCTCAGGCGAGGGGAGCTGGATTCCCGGTGTGGGAGCTGGATAAAAGAATGGAGCAAAAATAAACAGAAAAGAAAATGAGATGAGAACAAAGAGCCAGAGGCCCAGAGGCTGGAAATCCATCTCAGCAGGGGAGGGACAGCGAATATCATTTTCACAGCCACAGTGGCCAAATTCCAGGTCCTCCTTCCATGAAGCCCTCCGTGCTCGGGGTTCTGTCAGGAGGCAGACTGTGGGGCATGGGCTCCCAACCTCGGGGAGATGGGAGTGCCACGAAACAGGGCAGACCAGGCACTGCCCTTCCCCAGCAACTGCTGCCACCTCCCAGATGATGCAGGGACATGTGTTCGGAGCTGGGGCTACAGAGGGGCAAGAACGCTGAACAAAGCAGGCACTTCCAGCAGCCTCCTGCTGCTGAGGCCAATCACTGGGATAGACCTTTTGTTCTTTTTCTGTTTTTGTTTTTGTGGCTGGCTGGCACAGGGATCGAATCCTGCACTTTGGTGTTATCAGCATCACGCTCTAATCAACTGAGCTAACCAGCCAGCCCTAGACCTTCTGTTCCAATGGATGGAAGGCTCAGCTGCTGAAGCCAACTCCCAGTTGTAAAACCCAAATCTAGCCAAATGCAGGCACTCACAGCTAAGTGCCCCAGTCCACCAGAAGACGGCACTTATACCACTAGCTTAGTAAACAAGAGGCTAACAGTGCAGATGAGAAGAGGGACACTATTTTTCATTTACTCTACACATCACATACTCACACACACACTCACTCATATGCATAATCCTCATTTGGGGCCGCGCTCACACTGGGAACACCCATTCATTTCATGCCCTTGGGGATCTGGCGCATTGGGGCCTCACCTAGGCTGTTCCCACCACAAGCCTGTAGGATGTGCCGGGCTCGTTTCTTAGCATCTTCTGGGAAGCTGGGGCTGTCCAACAGGTTTGGGTAGGTGCAGAGTGCCATCACCTGGGGGAACAAGGTGCAGGCTGGGCTCCTGGCACCCCCCACCCCAGAGCCCCAGGAGGGGCACAAAGGGCACTGGGCAGGAAACAGTGGGCAGATGACAACTCGGAGGGACAGTGCTGCAGCATGCCTTTCCACGAGGGCTCAGGGTGGGTAGGGAGGAGGGCACTGGGTCTCTGCAGCAGAAGGGGAGATGCCCAGAACTGGGATGCACCACGACGTGGGCATGGGGCCCAAGAACGGGGTGCTGGAAGTGGAGCTGAAGAGCAGAGTGAGGTTGCTACTCAGCCCCCAGCCTCAACTCTTCCATAAGGGACAGTGGGCTCACACTCCAAGGCCACAAGAACCAGGGGTCTCCTGAGCAGGTGGCTAGGGTGAGTGGGCAGGCAAAGCCCAGCTGACAGGAGCTGTGCTGCACAGACCCCCTCCTTACTCACGGCCTGTGCTCCCCCCACACCCTGGGCCCCTGCCCTGGACTACTCCTCCTCACCCCCTTTCCTCACCATCTGAAAACCATGTCAGCTTTCTCATCTCTGTATCACAGAAAATCACCCTCACAAATCAAGAAGATTAAGCCAAGAAAGGTGTGCAAAAGTGCTGGTAAACCCCAGCTCACTGGGCAAGTCTAAGCTGGCAGCTTGAGAGCCGAGCCAGGTGCACAGGGCAGGTCAGGACTCTGACACCAGCCAGGTAACTTCAGTGGGTGCCTGGCTTTTCTTCATCTGCCAAATGGGCAGTGAGCAGGCCTGCTCTCCTCCCAGGGGCACTTGTGAAGAGCGAGGAGCTACATGAAGGCTGGGGGCAGCCAGCACCAGGCAGGAGAGGCTGGCCCTGCCATGGCCAATGGCAGGGCTGGATTTGGGAACACATCTGCCAGCCAGTAAAGACTGAGGCCTGTTTTGGAGCCCGTTCATGACCTGAACCCAAGGCACATGCGGGGAACCTCTGTTAGAGATACTACTTTCGGCCCCTCCCCTCCATGCCTGTGCTTCCAGGACAATTGGGGCCCTCTGACCTCCTCAACCTCCACTTCCCTGGCACAGCCGCTCTGCCTGGCCTCCTCCTTTTCCCTGTTTGGGCTGATCCATTTCCCCATCCTGGGCCCAGCCTGGGGACTCACAGGCAGCAGCAGTGGCCCCAAGAGAGGCTTGGTGATCATCCCTCAGACCAGTGCTGGCCTCGTTTCCTCTCCCTCATTACCCAGTGCTAACTCCTTCAGGGGCTGCAGGCTGAGGCCACCCAGCCCCACACCCATCTGCCCCAGAGAGCAGTGCAGAAAAAAGGGAACTGGGCACCCAGCCCTCAACTTCCCTGCCTGCCCCAGCCCTGAACCATAAACATACACAAGGACCACATTTTGGTTCAAAATGGGCCCAGTCCCTCTCCCAGAAAAAGCTTTCATACAGCTGGGTCTCCCACTTCTGTTCAGCTGCCCTGTGGCGTTCTCCTGCCCTGCATTCCCCCTCTCCAGCCAACCAATCCCACAATTTCAGCCCATGTGGGATCCTTGTGCTTGGTACTCAAACTGAAACCTTGAAATCTGCCTTCTCTTGGAGTCCTTAGGAGTGAGCTGGGTTGCATGGCAGGCAGCCAAGAGAGCATCCACTCACAGTGGCTGTAACCCCTGTGCTCTCCTGCTCCGATAATCTCCACTTGCCCAAGGACACCCAGCTGGTAAGTGGCAGAGCCAACACTCAAATCTGAGCGTCTCCTTTGGGAAGCCACATCTTCACCCTCACACACCACCTCCCAGCACACTGGGCTTCTACCTCTCTCCTGGGGTGCCACCTGCCCGTTGATGCCCTCGCCACCTAAGCATCTAACTCATCATCTATGACCATGTACCACGGAAGGGCCTCCTGGGAGTCTCCTACACCAGAGCAACCCCAAAACGGGTTTAGGAATTTTTGACAACCTTGGACAGGGAGGAAAAAGGACATCAGGCCCTGGACAGGGCTACTACTTCAATGGCACCTCTCTGTGGGATTCTGGTGCCCTCCATGTCCTGAGGGGGCTGGATGGACAAGGAGGCAGCTGAGGGCCCTACAAGCTCATGCTGGCCCCCCACCCCCAGCTTCTGGTTTCCTGCTCCCGAGGGCTTGCTCACCTGTCGGAGAAAGGTGATTGGCTGCTGGCCCATGGCCTGGGCATCCCCGATGTTTGCTCGGATGACCTCAGTGAATGGTTTTTTGATACCCTGAGCAGAGAGAAGGCAACAGTTGATTATTTAGAGACGCTCTGACACTGGATTCCTGAGACCACGTCGTGTTACCACAGGATATTAATAAGCAGCCCTATTTTGAGCCTTACCAAGTATCAGGCATGGTGCCATGCCCTTGACATGCCTGATTCCATTTCACCTTCACTAGTATTAATCTTATCTTACAGATGAGAAAGTTAAGGCTCCAAAAGGTTAAGAAACTTGCTCAAAGGTTACATAATTGATAAATACAAGTACTGGTATTTGAACCCAGGAAACCAGACTAAAAGGTCACTCTTCTTAACCACCGTGCTCCATTGCCTACCACTTTCTGGAAATGCCAGAAGAGCTTTCCTGGACTGTTAGAGCATCCTGAGGTAGCTGCAGGACCACAGTCTGACTGTCCCCTCACAGAGATGTCTAAAAGGAGACTGGGACCAATGTGGTCAGAGGGCAGTAGAAATCAACAGCAGAACACTCCAAACATCAGGGAGAGAAGACCCCAGATTCCCGAGCACCCTACCTTTAAGTGGAGCTCCACCTCAATGGGTTAAGTAAATGGCCAGGGACATGGAGGACACCTTCACCTCCAGAAGACACCCATCTTCTGGAACTCTCAGGATCTCTTAGAGTTATTCTCTTGCAACCCCAGCTTTGCAGAATGAAGAATGTGGGTTGATACTCACATATTTTTTTTTTCCTTTTTGTCTTTTTTCGTGACCGGCAACGGATTGCAACCCTCAGTGTCGCGCCTGTACCGGACCGGGACCGGCAACAGGATCGCAATCCTCGGTGTTGCGCCCGCACCTCGCTCAGCCAGTGAGCGGCCGGTCTGTATGTGGGATCCGAACCCTCGGTGGGAGCGCCACCGCGCTCCCAAGCGGCGCACTGGAGCAGTGTGCCACCGGGCCGGCCCCGATACTCACATTTTTAAAGAAAAGCATCAGGGATGAAAAGACTGATCAAAGAGCAAAATTGCCTGAGCAATGTGTTTAGAAAAGAGATCACAGAGAGAGGAACTCAGAGACCCCTGCGACATCACTTGGAAGGCGAATGAAGAGCACCCCAGCTGTTGCAAAGGCAAAAATGTGATTTGACATGGAGGACTGTGGGGACCTGGAAACATGTGAATACCACACATTTCCCTGATAAATCCATAATTAGCCACTGGAAGAACTGGAATCAACAACATGTTCAAGGACCTCACAGGGCAGCTGAAAGGATTATCTGAGACAAACAGTGTGAAAGCACTTGGCAGAGTGTAAATATCATCCCCTTACAGAACCTGCCCAGGAACAAGGTCGTGAAGGTCATGGTGGAGGAGGAAAGGGTGAGCACGGAAGTGGCAATGCCAACAGGTGGCCTGGCAGGAAGTCCGCCTTCCCATCCCCACCTGCCCTTTCCCCAAAGGCACCCCAAACACAAATTTTAAAGATACAATTCAAAACCGCCATTTTAAAATCAATAATATACACCATAAGTAAAAAACCAGTGGGCCTGAGACAAAAGCAGCTGCCAAATAAGTTTTTATGACCCTAGTTTTCCACTCCTAAGCGAGGTGGCATGGGGGGTTGAGCAAGGCACCCCAGAAATGGCCTTGGACCTTCATAAACAGGGCCTAAGTCTCTAAAAACTGTTTCTGGGGGGAAAGGAGGCCCTTTAAGTCCCTTGTGCCCTTTCCATCGAATTCTCAAGGCTGTCCAACATAGAGAAAGATTCCCAGGGGCATCGAGAAGCAGCCGATGTGTCTGGAGAGCTAAGACGGGGGCAGCACCGCCTCCTGCACCAGGGATAGGCCAGAGGTGACAGCAGGCATCCTGGCAACTCAGGCTGCGGGCGGGCGTGTGGCTTCAGGGCTCATCCCATAGGCAGAAGAACGCTGGGGTATGCAGTGGGCTGGACCTGCCCCACCCCTTGGCACTGGTGTGTGCTCCTGGCATGGGGCCCTCTGTCAGCCTGACTAAATAGCTGCAGCCCCCTTCCTGGCCTACAGCAGCTGAAGGCAGGTGGTTTCTGTGGTGTGGACACAGACTGTTCTTCGGTAGGGAGTAAATCCATCACAGTTGTAAGGGTCAGGAACCAAAACACAGCTGTGGGCCCTGGACCAACGCAATAGAGGGACTGAATAATGCCTGGAACAGAGCCCTGGATTTTCTTTTCCTGTGCCCTCCCCCCACACTGCTCAACCCATCAGGGTGTGCAGACACGTAGCCTGAGAACATTGAGAATTTCTTTTCTTGGGTCTTGGTGTCCATAGACCCTGGGCACTTCACTATGATGGATGAGTTGGAGGAAAGAAAATTGGCTCCCTTGACTGGGCAATGGAACCAGCCCACCCAGCCAAAGGCCACCAAAAAGAGGAGACTGTTCTGGGCAGACTTAAGGTCTACATGGGTTGGGAAATACTAAGAAGCCTGGGGCAGACACCTACTCATAGTGACTGGTCCAGGCCTGGTAGGCACACCCAATAGTGACTTCACCTCAGCCCTGCCCCCAGGACCTGCTACAAGCATGTATCATCCTGGTTTCCCCTCACAGATGATACTAACAGGCACAAGGCACAGCTAAGTAAATAACAAAATGAAAAGACAACTTAGAGAATGGGGATATTAACAAACCATAATCTAATATCCAAAATGTATCAGTTAATATATTTTAATATTTTAAAATTTTAAGACTTTGGTTAATATCCAAAATATATCAGGAACTCATACACCTCAATAGCAAAAAAACAGGCAAAGGACCTGAATAGACTGTCCAAAGATGACATACAAATGGCCAATGGGTGTATGAAAAGGGTGTTCAATATCACTAATCAAATCTAAATCAAAAACACAATGAGAAGGGCCGGCCTGTGGCTCACTTGGGAGAGCGTGGTGCTGACAACACCAAGTCAAGGGTTAAGATCCCCTTACTGGTCATCCCTTTAGAAAAAAAAAAAAACACAATGAGAAGGGCCGGCCTGTGGCTCACTTGGGAGAGCGTGGTGCTGACAACACCAAGTCAAGGGTTAAGATCCCCTTACTGGTCATCCCTTTAGAAAAAAAAAAAAAACACAATGAGATATCACTTCTCACCTGCTGGAATAGCTATTATCAAAAAGTCAAAAGACAAATATTGGTAAGGATATGGAGTATAAATCAGTACAGCCATAATGAAAATCTGTATAGAGGTTCCTCAAAAATTAAAAATAGAACTACATATGATCCAGCAATCCAACTTCTGGGTAAATTATCCAGAGGAAATGAAATCAGTACCTTGAAGAAATATCTGTACTCCCCTTGTTCACTGCAGGACAGAATCAACTTAAGTATCTGTCAACAGATGAATGGATAAAGAAAATGTGGTGTATGTGAAGCGTACTTCAACAAATTCGTGGAAAAATGGAATTAAAAGATAATACAAATCTTTCCATGAACTTTTTGAAGACCCCTTGTATATACAATGGAATATTATTTAGCCATAAAAAGAGGGAAATTCTGCCATTTGCAACAATGTGGATGAACCTGGAGGACATTATGCTAGGAGAAATAAGCCAGAGACAGAAAGACAAATACTATACGATGTCACTTATACATGGAATTTAAAAAGTTGAACTCATAGAAGCAGAGAGTAGATGGTGGTTGCCAGAGGTTGGGGGTGGCAAAATGAGGACACGTTGGTCAAAAAAACAAAACAATGGCCGGCCCGTGGCTCACTTGGGAGAGTGTGGTGCTGATAACACCAAGGCCAAGGGTTCGGATCCCTATATAGGGATGGCCGGTTAGCTCACTTGGGAGAGTGCGGTGCTGACAACAGCAAGTCAAGGATTAAGATCCCCTTACTGGTCATCTTAAACAACAACATCAACAACAACAAGCTTTCAGTTATGAGTGAATTCTGGGGATCTAATGTACCGCATGGTGACTATAGTTAATAACACTGTATTGTTTACTTGAAATTTTACTCTTAAGTAGAACTTAAGTGTCCTTACCCTCCCCGCATACAATGGTAACTCTATGTGGTGATGGATGTATTAATTTCACCATGGTAATCATTTCACTATGTATTCATATACCAAATCACACTGTACACCTTGAATATGAGGGTACTGCAGAAAGTTCATGGGAAAATAGAATTAAAAGGTAATATGAATATTTCCAGGAACTTTTTGAAGTACCTTAGTATATACAATTTTTATCTGTCAATTATACCTCAGTAAAGCTGGGAGAAAAAAAACAGGCACAAGGGAGTTTCCTCTTGCAAAGGATAGCTCTTTTCATTTGGTGTGACATGTGGGTGGGAAGGTTGTGTAGGATTGTTACTCCCCAGAGAACCTCCCTCTTGTTCAACAAATACTTACTGATTACCCATGCTCTGGAGGCAGGAGTGACCAACACAGATGAGGCCCCCACTCTTCTAAGCCCAGGCTGGTGAACAAGAAGAAATGGGCACAGGAAGGAAGCTAGGCAGGGGGTGAGAGAGAGGACCTACTAGGAACCTCGTGTGAAAATGCCCTGAGCCTCCTTACCCCAAAAGGGCAATGAATGGGATTGCATCAGACAGGAAGTCCCAGAGAACTCCAGAAAGAGGCCCTGGAGACAAACCCCAATTAGACCCCACAGTCCCCGAAAACAAGTGCATTTCACAGCCGAGGAAACTCGGCTCAAGTTCTGACATAGAAGGACAAGCAAAGCCGAAGGAAACTGGAGCCGCAGCTATGCATGCCTGTGATTGAGAGACTAGGTGGGAGTTCCCACGGCTGAGTTTCTTAACCACTGAAGCAGGAAAGGCTGTGTGTAGGCCCCTGAACTCTGAGGATGTGTGGGATGATCAACTGTGGAAG